AAAGTGTGATGTCATGTGACTACATCATTTAGCGTTAGCAATCCCAGCAGTCCCCATTGCCATGGTGAAGTGAGGATCACAGGTTGTTAAGCGAAGACTTCATGTGACTGCAACTTCCTGCCACCTTCCCACAAGGAAAGTCAAAGGGGTTGCAAGTCCCAGTCACAACAAGCCTTTCCTTAGGCAGCTGGCAAGCAGGCTGGCGAGTGGGCGAGTGCTATGGAATGTGGGTGTGTAGGGGGTGGGTGCTGTGGTGTGATGCATGGGTAGGTGCTGTGGGATGAGCTCCTCAGGAGAAAAAGCAGCGACTTCCCAGAGTGACTTGCCAGCTTCCCCACTGACTTTGGGACACTGCAACCACTGTAAGTGCAAGCCAGTTGCCAAGCGCCCGAATCACGATCATGTGACCGCAGGGACGCTGTGACAGCCACAACTTTGAGGGCAGGCTGTAAGTCCCCTTTGTTCAGTGCTGTCATAACTCTGAACAGTTGCTGAATGAGTGGTTGTAACCCCAGGACTACCTGCACTGGAAACTCTCCAGTCATCCAGCAATCAATTGTGAAAATGTCCTAACCTAATAGTCAGGATTAATAACTTCTGATACTTCTATCTCCCTTTTTAAAAGCATATCTATATTATATATCAGTGCATGCACATCAACTACATTTCCTGTCTCTATACATTTGTTAGGCCTAAAACAATCATTATCATCAAGGCAAGAAGGACTGAATGTGAGAAACTGTGACTTGTTTGAGGCTATTCAGTGTTTAAAGTATAATTAAAGCTTTCTTATTTTTCAGGATACAATACTTCTAACAAATGTTGGAAATTATTTAGATTTAGCATTTGTGTGAGAAGATCAAAAACTATTTCCAGATCCTTTTGCCCTAATCCATTTAAATCCTAGCCACAACTAGTTCTGGCCACCCCTTTTTCAGTTTTTTTTAAAAATAATTCTAATTGGCTACAGCTCATCTCTGAAGGAAATGCTTTCTGATCTCTTGTAAGGTAGATTTAAGACACAGAATTTTGCACAAAACAACACCAAAACAGCTGGCAAGCATTTGTTAATTTGAATTCAACTGATGGCATCTAACTAACTAATAAATTAGGAGAATATGACCATGTTTTTGATGTGTGTGTGTGTGTGTTGTTTTCTTTCCTTTCCTTTTCTTGCATTCATTAAAACCAGCATATGATGAAAAAGGCTGATCACAATTACAATTACATGGAAGCTTGCTTTGCCTGAATGCCTTCTTGTAGTATTCTATCAAGCTGGGCTTTTTAGGTCTCTGATTTGCCATTTGGGACTAATTTATTTAGTTCTTCCATCCAGATGGTGAGATCACACAAGGACCCACACAAGAGAAATTGTTAACTCCAAAGATGTGGTAGACGAGATCATGTATTGTTTTGCACAGTAGGAATCTTGCTGTACAGCAGAACATATTGTGTTGCTTTGCACCACTGTCAGATATAGTACCCCATCAATGTTTGGGGGCACCCTCAACAGAAAATTCACTTAAAGTGTGAAAATGCTACTTTCCCCATATAGCTATTTTATATACTCAATGGCACACAGGATTGTTCTCCTAACCTTACCAATTTTCAGGATAAAGTAGAAATATTAGAAAAGTATTTTAGCAATCAAATCAAATCTTTATTACGGTCATAGGCCAGTATTAAAAGTATTTTAGATTTTAATGTCCAGGACACTATAATTACTGAGGAACACAAAATTAATTTGGAGAATAACTAGATTTATATAACAAGCTGCGCTTAGTTTAGATTTATTAAAACTGAACTACATTTCTATAATTACAAGAAAGCTTGTATTATATTATCAAATTTTATTTCAAATCAACTTTTGGTACAGGGTGTTTGATCCTGAATAAATTCAGAGAGCAATAAGCTTAATGTGATTGTGATTTAAAACATACACATGATTTTCTACTAGTCGAAGACAACATTTACATATACAGTAGAAATAAACTGCACTTACAGAATGAAACCTCTAGTTCATGGCAAACTGGAGACAACAATTTAACATTCTGCATCAATTAAAGTATCCTACACTGAGTCACTGTAACAGTTTAAGCCGGAACTACATTAGGCATGAATAAAAATTAAGATTAAATTGTTATTTAATCAGGAAGAACTATGGCTAGCGAATCAGCCAAGCCTGGGAAAATATGTCTATCATCACAGAGATAACTGGTATGTAAGAGGAGTCTTTAGTTAAGAAGGATCCACAAGCTATGATCCAATCTTTAAGAGTAAATAAATGCAACTATTCATTATACTCTGCATATCCAACTTTAAACTACAGATGGTCCATTACTTGGAAGTATTTCTATCTTGTATGATAAAATTTGATCTTGTCCCATTCAATTTTTTGAAGTGGGCAAGATATGAGAGAAACATGAATTGTTTATTGCCATTATTTTAAATTAAATGCATCTGCAGGGGGCTCTGCATTTGATCAGAACAATGTGAGTATAAAAGGATGGCTGTATCTTTCCATATAAGTTGTTTGCTCAATCAAAATCTCATGTAGTTCTCTAGCGAATCAAGTGAAAATGTTAATCAGAGCAATTAACTGGTAGGAATAGGGTTTAAACGTGTCTGGACATCGACTATATTTTAATTAACTGAGAGAGAGAAAGAGAGAGAGAGAAATACTGTAAACACATGACTAAAGTGCATGAACTGACTCATAACTGCTGAACTATAAAGTATTATTAAGGCTCATGATGCAATATATAAAGAGTAAGGTAGACTTGCTGTTTTCTTTAAGGTGACACATGGAAACCTACACTGATACTTGAGAAAGTCATTTAAATCACTGATGATTCTGAGTGGCTTAAATAATTGGGATTGGAACAAGAGTGTGTTTTTTGAACTTTGTTCTTCATTTGACACCACCACCACTCAATCTATGTTTAAGTTATCTCACTGATTTCATTGGGACCTAAGTTCAATTGGCAGATTAGATCTATACCCTAATATTTACCTTATGGTTCCAGCAATCTCCATGGAGGTAAATATAATAGCAATTCAAGTTTATCACTTTCCTTCCTTTATGTTTTCTTGGTAATACATGGGTTTTGTCATACGTTTTCCTATCCCAGAGCAATTTCGAAAGGCACACCTTTTCAATACAGTTCCACTTAATCTTCTTATCCCAATAAAACAACTGAAAGTCCCCCATGCTCTACTGAATGTACGCAAGATATACCTAAAGTCCTGCTGGTTAAAAAAAAAAAAAAAACTTAAGCAATACAAAGATTTGTTTCATTTAGAGATCCCTTTTCTAGCTCCTACTTGCATCTCTTCCTGGGATTCTTCCTTGAATACCCAGATATACCAGGATATAGACACAAAGAACTGTATATTCTGAATAGTTTCTACAAGAGAGTAAAAAGCTCTTCAGAGGTCCAAGTTGTAGAATTTCAACTTGGGACTCATAAAGCATAATAAGCTTTTTTTTTTTAAACTACTTATTCAGTTTATTGGCTAATAAAAGTAGCTTGGAATATTATATTTCACACATTTTCAAACAGCAAATTCCAAAGCGGTTTAATGTATTATTTACCCCTGAAGTCACCCAAGCATGTTATTTCCTTACCCTTTTTATTTACCAAACTTCACTAGGGAAGAAAAGATTTACACAAAAGCAAATCAACTTATTCAATCAGCCAAGGATATATAAAATGCATCACAAAAAGGAGGGGAGAAAAGAAGTTCATACAGTCAAGAGTCATTTTAATCAGGTTATGGAAATTAAAAAACTAAAGGAGCACTTGTTAAAGAAATCAGCTCTTAATAAAACCGTAGGAACATTTAGTGCAGTATATTTTATTCAGAAGAAATACCAACATTAGATACAATTCAAGGCAGCATATAGTCTAAGAAAGGCTAAAGCCTCCTGGAGATACAACAGCTGTTTTACATGCCTACAGCCAATGTTTGCAGTCTTACAGCTATGGAGGCCAGGGCACAGACATGTCATGGCAGCAAAACTGGAATTATGATACAAAAGCAAAATTAATGCACTGCTGGTGGGAAGCTACTTTTCAAGCCTGATTTATCTCTGGATTATACAAAGGTACCAATATTTTATTAAGCAGCATAAGCCTGTAACATTAATGACAACAGAACTGCTGAATCATAACACTAGTCACTAGATAAGAGAATGAAACTGATTCGGCATGCTGTTCTTTAAGAGTTTCTACAGCTCAATTACGCAGTGTACACGTTGTAGAACTACTTTTTTGCAAATATGTACTGAAAGTTAAAAAAATGTATGGGTGTCACATCCTCTGACAGTTCAGATCTCTTATCTGTTCAACTCTTTGGATTCCTGAGTGAATCGGAAAGTACTGCCACAGAAGAGAAGAGCAACAATTAAATGGAAAATTACAGAAATTATGACTCTGAAGTCAAAGCTCATTAGACAGTGAACTCCCTAGTTTGGAGAATTCAAACAGAAATTAGGTGAACACAGCCTTTGAGGTTTCCTCCACTTTCCACAGTATATACTCACCTCTTCAGTATATAAGCACCTCTTCAGCAGTTTTATATAACAATGTAAGGTTAAAAAATATTGCCAATACCTTTCTTCCTAAAGGAAAACAACTCAGTTTCAATAATGCCGAACTGTAATAAATGCTAAATTTATTGGAATGTTAGATTATAAATGGAATTAAGTTTTCAAAATATAATTTTTTGAAACAGAACTTTTCAGAATAAAGACGAAAATAGTCTTCAAACTCAGGGCTGTTAGAGGAAATATTAATTACAACAACCATGAATTCTGACCCATGCACAAACAGAAGATATGGAATTTAACCAGGTAAAGAAACTATTCAGTTTTCTGAGTTTTACCGCACAACAGTGTCAAAACAGTGTAGACTTTTATATATAAACAAACCCCTCAGTTGCTTTGTAAATGTCTGGCCTGACCATGCTATTCCCAGTGTGAGGTAATCAACTCTTACCTGTGTCATCTTGACAAGGTCCAGTGAAGGTCTTTGTTCCTTTACCTCTTCAGGTCGTCTTCGTTTAATTCCAACTTTCTTGTCATTAAGGACACATGGTTGAGACCGACTTCGAGAAAGTCCATTGGAGCGCCTTGTCAGCTCTGGTGTTGAGGCAGGTGTGCTGTTTGCTGAGGGCAGACAATATTCCGAAAAGGAAATTTGATCATGGGAACAAGAGAGTGATCGTTGGATATCAATCCTGCCACTCTCGGAAGAGCTGTGATCATTACCCCAAATATCACTTGTCTGTCCGTATGTGGCTGACTTTCGCATTCCTTGACATGGCTGACACCCAAATCTGTTGTTAAATCCCATCTGGTCATATGATGAGGAAAGAGTGCTTGACCTGGAAGGAAGGCTAAAGCTTGAACTTCTCTGCATGGTTGTGAATCCATTGGAGTAGCGCTGCACACTTCCCCCACTATAGCACCGTCTCTTTTCTACAGGAGTCCAGACCTTTGATCCTATAGGCCTCCATGAAGCCCGGCAACTAGACATCTCATCAGAAAAAGAGAGTGATCGGCACTGGCGTTTGCTGGGAGGTGCTGAAGGATTGCAATTGCGGTCACTAAGGCTGAGATCCTTGATCAAGTTGGTCACTGAGCATGTGTTAGCTGGCTCTCTCTGCCATAAGGAGCTTTCGTCACTTTTGTCAGGCAAGCAGTCCCAAATGTTGGCACTTGGCTGTTCGACCTGAAGGGGATATTTCCTGCTGAGATCTCTCCATCTGTCATTTTCTAGTTTTAAACAATAGAATAATATACACTCATTAGTGCCAGTTACGCCTATGGTTCTCTTCCCATATCAGTAAAAAGCATAATACATTAAAAAAAAAAGGTCTCATGAGACTCCTTAGGATTAATCCTTAGGATTTAATTTCGGAGGTAATTGAATTAAAATGGAGCATGACACAGGTTAGTTACCTGAGACTAAGACCAGCAAAGAACAATGAAAAGAAACAGCTATGTGCTGGGTATGACAGAAGGTGAGTAACTTTTGACAAACTACATTTGGAACATGTTGTATCCATTTCTTCCACAAGTCTAACTTCTTTGTTCCAATTCTCACTCCCATCTGCCCGCTATACACTACAGGTGAGAAAGTCAGTTGTGGTTTCAAGTTCCGGCTGCTGGTTTCCCTGGCAGTGTTTTGGTATGTGATTCTATTTCATTCTAGGAAAGAAGAGGAATGACATTTTGTTCCCATGGGAACATGAAATGAAGAACCGTGGATGCCATTTTTAATCTACACGATTCCCACATCAACTGCAATGGGAAAAAAGGTGTTTCGGACATAGGTATCTGCCTTAACAAATTGGGAATTGTTTTTAGTAACAATAAAATAGGCTAGAAATGTTATCATTAAAAATAAAATGAACAGTTACTGTGGGATTTTTATGGAAGTGAATCCAAAATGACGAGAGTCAGTGAATTCGGGAAAAACAAATAGGCTCTACATGAATCAACAGCATATTTCAGCAACTTCAGTGTTCAATGATTTAATGGCTGCTTTAACTGTCATCTGCAATTGGATGATCATACAATCCAATCAAAACACTGAGATCTGTTATGTATACTATTTTGAAATGTGGCTTGTTTTTTTCTCATTTTAAGGAATACAATGTAAAACTGGTAATGCACATTAAACAATTACATCTCAACTGAGATATCACTTATTATCCTACTGCAGTGTTTCCCAACCTCAGCAAGTTTGAGATGTGTGGACTTGCTGGCTGGGGAATTCTGGGAATTGAAGTCCATATATCTTAAACTTGCTGAGGTTGAGAAACACTGTCCTACTGTATTAGCTACAGCCAACAGAGCATTCTCAGGTTAGGTCACCAGACAAAAGAGAACAAAAACAGAAGCCAGTTGTGCTGGCAAGCTGCTTTGGGTCTGGGGTCTAGTCCTCACATTTTATAAAAGGCCTTGCTAACTCTACATAAGAGGGTACAGGATGCATCAGTATTTTAACACTATTTCTATATAATTTATAGAACAGATAAATTATGCCCACATTATTCACTCCTCCCCAGCTATATTGGCAAAGTTGCCTAGTGCTATACTACATGCATGTTTTTACCATACCATACCATACCATACCATACCATACCATACCATACCATACCATACCATATACCATACCATATACCATACCATATACCATACCATATACCATACCATACCATACCATACCATACCATACCATACCATACCCCACCTTTATACAAAATGTCCAATAAAGAAATAACTTCAAATTCCGGCCGTGAAAGCCTTCGACAATACAAATAACTTCAAATTTATATGGTTTTTTGCTGGTAGTTCTGAACCCACAAAAGAAACTGTGTGAGTCTTGTAAGTGCAGGCTACCATCACAGGATTTTAAGCACAATGTGAAACAAAAGCTTTAAAAATGAGTTCTATGACAGATATACTCCATTTACTTTTATTAATTTAATTAGACTTGTGGCCAGCACAATCTTGATCAGATTTCACAATGCTTCTGAGAAATGGGATTTACCTTAGTTAGTAACTTAATTACCTCTACAGGATGTCAATTACCGTAGTTTTCCGACTATAAGACGATACTTTTTTCTAAAATCCTTATGCTCAAAATTGAAGAGCGTCTTATTCAAGGAAGTCAGCCGAGGAGAGAACTGCGTGGTGGCAAAACTGCCCATACCTTGTCTCTGCAAACGGGCTTCCTCCTATTGCTAGCCTCTACCCACGAGTGAAACTGCCCATACTTTGTCTCTGCGAACGGGCTTCCTCCT